ATAAGTTTGGGGGAGAGACGAGAAATTTTAAAGTGATGAAAAGTACAAAGAACAAAAAGAATTTATGAAAAGAAAAGGCAAAGAAAAGGATGAAGAGTTAAAAAAGAAATATGTCAAAAAGAAAGAAAAGGTTGAAGGGATTCAAAGAAAACAATGTTGAAAGGCATGGAATGATGAGAAAAGGAGAAAAATGATTGTCATAAACAAGAAAGAGTGACAATATGTCTCTCTAGTTCCCCTGAGGAAGAAGAAAATGACTTAAAGAGTCAAGAAAGTATGAACCGAAAAAGACAATGGAGTACTTAAGGAAAAATGAAACCATCATAGTTCATTATGTCCTACCTTGATCCAAAAAGCCTTCATTACATCCCGCTAAAGCCCTATATGATTTCAAGTTGAGTGAGCTTGCATTAGTGATGATTTACATAAGGGGCAAGCTTATGGTACTTAGAACTGGACTTGTGGCATTCTTTTGAGAGTGATGAGCGCACTTCTTTACAATCCTTGTTTTGAGTGTCACATTCTATAAAGTGAGATTTGCTCATGGGGAGTAGAGGAGGACGAGTTTGGGATCCACAATGACCTACGTGAGAGAACGAGCTTCCTTGATGAATTGAGTTGACTCTTGATGCTTTTGTGTCACATTAGAACTATAGAAGTCATAACATGATGTTGTTGATAATGCATTTGTGTTGAGGGTAATTGTTAGTCTCAATTGATGTTTGATGAAGTCACCTTAGGACAACTAAAATTTTTATTTCTTTTTCTTGTGGAGGTGGGAATTACCTTGTTTACTTGAGGACAAGCAAAAGCTTAAGTTTGGGGGAGTTGATAACTAGGGGTTTTAGCCTATTATTTACTCTCTATTTTGCTTAGGTTTTGGGTCAAAATGTGTAAAGGTATTCCCGAAAACTAACTTAATGTGCTTGCTTGCGGGGTTTGGTCAAAATGAGGCAAAGAAGCCATAATCAACTCATGAAGGAGTCAAACCTGCACGAATCCAAGGCTGAGATATGAGCGCTGAGAGCGGCAGAAAAGCGCGGCCGCGTAAGGACCACCGCTGAGGCGGCCACTATTACGCGGTCCGCGAAAGTAGATTCTGAGAAGCTACTTTGAATACTAAAATCACCGCTGACCGCATTGGAAAGACGCGGCCGCAAAATTTTTGGCGCGGCCGCGAAGGGAATTCCGCTGAGGGCGCATCTTGAGGTTCAGAGACCCTGCAAGTCAGACTTAACTAAAGAACGCGGTCCGCGTCCAAATTACGCGGCCGCGATGGAAGCACACGCGGACGTGGTTGAAATTACTTGGTCCGCAAAATTAAGCCCAATCCAAGACCAGTATTGAAGAAATGCGGACCGCGCTTATTATTACGCGGCCGCGAAAGCTCAAGCACGGACGCGGTCAGAATTACGCGTCCGCTAATCCTCCGCAGGGGCCTTTTTATCCGAAAATTTTAGCCTAGTATAAATAGATCCTTCTATCAATTTTAGGTTAAGTTTTGTTCAGCAGAGCACGTGAACGGCTGATTTTTCCTTTTTTAGGCAATTTTAGAGTAGATTTACCTTCAAACTTTAGATTTTCATCTTGTACTTTAATATTATGACTTATATTTCATATTTATCTTTGATTTTTGCTGCTAATATGAGTAGCTAGACCCCATAGCTAGGGTTGTGACTCAACCCTAGTGTGGGTATTTAATGGGTCTTGAATTTTAGGGTTTAATTATTTATGGGTTAGTGATATTTAGCCTAATTTATGCTAAAATTATAGAATTAGTGATTGTAAACACTGATTCATGCCTTTATGACTTAGGATCTTCTTGAGAAAGAGGGACTAAGTCTAGAAAAATTAGGCTAACAAGGAATTGGGGTGAACTTAAGAGATTGATAGTCTCAATTAAAGGGTTAAACCTAAAGATAGTAATACCCGACTTGAGCAAATTTCACTTGTATTGTATGAACACCTATTTGGGCTTGAGAAAGCCAAATCGGGCAAAGTCACTCAAACTACCGAGAGGTATAGAATGAACACTTATGTGTGATGGTTATATCACAACCCCAATCATAACAAGCTTGTCCTAGATTCTTGATACCCATTAGATACTCACCTAGGCGGAAGTCACTTCCCTAGTGCCTTTTAACACTTGAAAACTTTCACCAAAAATATTGTACTTGGCTTACACTCAGCATACTATAGTATAAAATTAGAATAGAATCAATCACAATAATGTTTGGAAGTGCAATTAGGAATAACACGCACATCTAGATTAGTTAGATACCCAACTCCAAACCAAATTAACTCCCTGTGGAAATCGATCCCGACCTCGTTGGGTAAAACTGCATCGACCATCCTCGCTACTCTATAGTGGTGTAGGTTTGGACCTGATCAATAAGCCAAAATCTGCCCTAAGGATATTTAGCGTAATACGACAATTAAGGAAAGAGTCGGTCGAGCTCAACCAGGAAGAAGCAAGATTCGTGGTCGAGGTGTCAACCATGCCCGAGGTCGAGACGTGTAAAGAACAGTAACGGTTAATTTTTAAAATAGGATATTAGAGAGAATATTCTCTGCACTTGTACTATTAGGATTTTCTAGTGATATGTGTCAAATATATAAGGAAAAAAGAAAAGGGAATAAGGGCATGTAATATTCATGTGATAAGTTATGTGTCCTGCTATGTTTTGATGATCTGACAAACTTAATGTTAAGAACCAGATAGGGAACCTGTTCCACATCCTTTGAGTGCTCAAAGATCAACAAGTCTCAAGTCTGGGACATGCTCCAGAGTCCAAGAAACAACATAGGGAACAGATCGACATCAGTTACCTTGCTGACAGTACCAGTCAACTCCCCACAATTGTAAAGTGACTGCAATTGTTCCTCTGCATACACGCAACATTGCAAACAGTGGAGTCACTTTATAGGGAATGCCTTTGTACCGAACATGCTTGCATCATTCAAGTGATGTCACTTATGTAATATTAACATGAAGCAAAGGAAAAACATCACATTTGCACGTTTAGAATCGATCAAGCTCTCTCTCAAGTGCATTGCCAACCTGCAAGTGACATCAAAGGCGTCAAAAACAAAAAGCAACATAACGAAGGACCAGTTTCCTACATTGAGTCATCATATGTCCTTAGTTGTGTAGCATCTTTGTCAAAGTGATTTACTTGTAATTCCTACTTAGCTTAGTTAGAAGCATGTTGTAGGAAACCTTTGTAAAATCATAAACCATGAGTTTGTGTCTTGGCTAGAGTTAGTCGAGTTGTAAGCTTTGTAATAGAGTTATTACAAAGGGGCTTGTAATAGAGTTATTACAAGTTAATGAGGGATTAAGAGGTTAATTCCTAGGTTACAATAGTTTGTAATCTGAAGTTTGCTCAGTAGTGAAGTTGAAATCCTACAAGGGTAGGTCGTAGTTTTTAATCCCGTGAGCTGGGAGTTTTTCACGTAAAACTCTATTGTGCTACTAACTTACAGCTATGTGAGTGTGTTATATGGGAACTAATAGAGAACCTGGTTCTCTATATAAGTTTGGTGGACCCTTAGTTTCTATCAAGCTATTGTTGGGGTGAAATTTCATTTGAACCCAAAGCTAGCTAGTTCTCAAAATGCGCCGAAGGCGCTTGACATAAACTAGACGTGTGAGAAGTCTTTTCATATCCTTAAATCTTATTGAATTTTTGAAATCAGATAATTTCGTGGAGTGGTGAAATGAAAAACTACGAAGAGAAAATTCACATGGATTTATAAAGTACTTGTTGTATTAGTATACAAACTTTATATGTTCTTGTATAGTCAAAGAGAATCGATTATGTAAAGACGAGATCGATAATTTCACCTGTGTCAATATTAGTATTATTATTGAAGTAATGCAAGATAACACATTTTCTATAAAATATGTAAAATATAAGTTTGGAGATGTGTTACGCAATGTAGCAAAGAGAATCTTTTTTTGGCTAATAAAAGAAAATTTTGTTACTGCGTGAAGAAATTAAGCCAACAAGCCTAAACTATTTCCAGTACGTATGTCTTTGTATCCTTGGCTTAGTTCTGTAGTTGTTCAAGAAAACAACGCAAATTGGCCTAAACTTTTTCTACTATTTAAAACCCCACCTCTCCATAGCTAATGAAATTCCCTTAATGCGGAGAAACTCCAATAAAATCTGCAATGAAAGCCTTAGCATGGTGTAATCAGGTTAAGACCAAAAGGTCTCCCGTTCAAGTATCATCAATATGTAAATTTATATATATAACTTATTTGTTCGTATTTTTCTCACTGGTGTGTGCTAAAAGATGTCAATTCTTTGTTTATTTCTTTTCTTGGCATACTGTTGTAAACTGGCGTGCACATCCATACGTTACAAATAATAAAGGTCTTTACAGAAGAGAGAGCTGGAAATGAAGTCAATATATTGTCATAGCTTGAAATTCTTCACCTTTACATAGTAGTAAACAAAGCAGAAGATGCTGCAAGCCTGCAACAACTGAAGACTAGCAAATTTTGAAATTCTTCACCTTTACATAAACCGTGCAATGGCAGAGCTAGGATTTTCATTAAGGGGAGTTAAAATATAAAGAAATAAACTCACCAGAAGTCGAGGTGTGTCATTATATAATATATATACATATTTTTTTAAAAATTACCGAGTGTAATTTTTTTACGAAGGGCCATGTGGCTTCGCCACTGAAACCGTGTACCGTAAGGCAATTTCATCCACAAATCAGCAGAAATGGTTTAACGCATACGCAGAAGGGACGTCCTAGAAATGCCATACGCCTATCCTAATACTCAAATTCATATTTACAGAAATATAGAATGAGGAGTAGACAATTACAAATTTGTACCAAGTGGAAAGATTAATAGATATTGTACCAAGTGGAGTGCCCAAGGGAGAACTAGGCAACAAATTGGATTAGAGAACAGATGAGTCAACAGTCATGCATCTTCATCAGAAAAAGAAGCTGGAACTGGAAGAATAAAGAGCTGCAACTGTACAAATCTGGTCCAACTTCCTTAACTTCCAATTTATACTAAAAAGAATTTAACAAATATTGAGGAGACTTCAGTACCTTTACCAACTTATAGTAGAAATAGTTATATTCTCATAGACAAAGGTGACTACAACGTTGAGAGGTCGCGATTTAACTCCGTTGAATAGTTGTACTAGACCATGCAATAACTACGACATGGTCTTTACTATAGCCATTACTACGGCATCTTTACTATAGTCATTCTTCCTACTGCTACGGCTCTAGGAGAGCATAGAAGGCAAATGCCTATTCCCCTCTCTCTAAAAAGCATGTTGAGTAACTGCAGTGTAGGAGGCAGACCTTAGGCCTCATATAGTTTTTTAGATGATTCTGCATACTATTATCCAGCCATATTAGCTCCAAAGTACTCTTACACCTATGCATCAAAAGCAGCAAAATTATAACTCATTAGCTCTTCTTTGCATTGTTTCATGGAAAGGGGTTTAGAAGTGCACTACCATGAAATGGAAATCATACCTAGACAGACAGCTACGGGCTTGAGCTCTCATCATCTGAACTAGAATCGCCCATATGTCGCTCCTGGATTGCAGGAAATAGTCGTTTACGTATGTCTGGGAAAGACTCAGGACAGGATTCTTGGGAAGGAGATGTTGCTAATGTCCCTTTTCTAGGAGTCTTTGCTGGAAGTTTTGTGGAGTTTCTCACCACATTACATGCCTTGTCCAGCATTATTAAGAAGTCACTAACAATAGAAAAGAGACGCAAGCCTTCATCCTTCCCTGCATTTCCATGGAAGTAGTCTCCTGTGCTCTTAACCAAAGACATTATCCTCTTCTCTTCTTCTAGTATCCAAGTTATCTCCTGTTCCGCATGTTGGATAAAGTTTGTGAGTGTATCACGGAACTTACTGTCTTCCTCCAAACTTGTCATATCAGTGTCCAGAAACTCTTTAGTTTTCACCAATGACTGACTAAGCTTGGTGACAGCTGCACTTAAGTTCTCGCCATCAATAAGTGATGCTTTTCTTACGTTCTCAAGCTCATTACTTAAACCAGAAACCACCTGCAGACCAAGGCTACGATGATAATCTGCTGACTCCTGAGCAGGATCCTCTACAAGATCTTCTGTCTTCACACTGGACGTGTTTTGCTTCTCCCTTAATCTACGTGCTGCTCTTAATCCTTCGGATCGAATAATTTCCTGCACTACAAAGTTCAAGAGTGTGGTCTTGCCATCAGTTCCTTTCACATCTGATAGTTTCAAAAGTGTGTCAAGCTTGAATGCCTGTGCACCACCACGGAAGGTGCCATCGTTCATGCGGTTGCCAGTCTTAAGAACTGCTTCAAGAAGTTTCAGGAACGGTCTGCTGTTTCTCAGCTCCTTACATGCGACCTGCAAGTCACGATGATTTAATAAAAATCCAACAATAACAAGATAACATTCTAAAGCTCTTCTATATAATCATGAAGCACAGCGAACAACAACAACTACTACTATGTCTCAGTCCCAAACAAGTTCGAGTTGGCAGGAGTTTATTGCCTTGGCATCACTTCCACATTAAGATAAGAAGATCCAAGGGTGGAAAGATTTAAAAAAATCTTCTGGCACTACCAAAATCAGGTGATATTGTTAGTCCAACAGTTTAACGTTCAGCTACAGCATTTCACGCACAGTGAAATGACCCCCTTCAACTGAAAATGTCTGTATGTTACTACAAAAAGTGAGAAACCGTGAACCTAAGAAGAAAACTCGGGTGAGTCCTATTAATTGTTTTATTGCTGTTGATTATAAATATAAGAAGAGATGGTGCCCTTCACTAAAAAAAGTCTAATTTGTACATATTTTTTGCCAGTAATAAGCTAAAAGAACAGTTGACTTCCTTTATTATTTTTTTGAGATGTTGAATTCCTTTACTAATTTTTTTTATTGTTCTTCGTTTTTCCAAGAAAGATGATATTCCAACATGCAGAGACAGACAATCTCTTAGAGATGAAAATACAAGATCAGTCACATGATATGTAGCAGTAGCATATATGTGTCGTTTATTTGGTTTTCTTTCTTTTTTTCCTCAGAGTTTATGTGGATGGCGTGTTTATAGTTGGCAAACCACCAAGCAGGAGAATCAACAGATAAAACGAGAGGACACAGGAGAACAACCAAGATATTTTTCACTCTGAACCAGTGTTATCAAAGGCGCGCTTAAGCCCTGAAGCGAGGCTCAAAACATGTTGAGCGCTTGGCCTCGCTTAACGACCGCTTCAGGTGTTGTCATCAAGGATCTAAGGCATAATTTTCCTTGCTAACGGGCGTAATCTGGAAGAGGCGACACTAAACAATTGATATTTCACTTTATCGTAAATTTTCTTCAATTTCTTTGTCCATATATTTGGTATTCATGCTTATAGATATTAGTTTTGGACTACGCATACATATTTATAGTTTTTTTGCATTTGCGCCTTTCTTCATTAAAGCCCACGCTTTATTTGCGCTTAAAACCCCAACAGACCTTAGATCTTTTTTACGCTTTTTGCCTTTGATAACACTGCTCTGAACGCAACCATCAAATTGTAAGAAAATCAATATTTTACACTTTACCTCTAAGGTTGTGAAGGACTCTTTAATGGAAGAAACTTCTTCCTGTAGAGAACTCATGAGCAACAATGATTCCATCCGTTTGAAGGCAAATGGAACTGCAACCATGGACTTGAGAAAACGTTCAGCAGGGCCAAGCTGAGAAATGTCTCCAGCAAATAATCTGAGTTTTAGTTCTTCATCTGTCGTTGGTGCCATCTTCAATAGAGTTCGTAGGAGTTCAGGAGGCAGCTCATTACCTGATAAGATACTTAAGTAATTAGAATTAAGCTTCAGAAACTTTCTTGATGAAAATAATACATCATTGAAAAATGCAAAAATTTGCAATATCTAAGTTGAAGTACCAATCGACATCAAGCTTTCACGACTTAAATATGAAATAGCAGTAAAGATCTATTGCGCTTGGCAAGGGACATGAAAATACGGGACTTTTGTTATCGTGAGACTTCAATATTTTCCTTGGGATTGTTTAAAACATCTGATTAAGCAGAGAATCAAATAAGTGCCAGACCAAATGTAAACGAATTAAGTAATACCATACCTTTCAAATTAACTTCATGCTAGACAGACATTAGCAGTGATTGGAGGGTTTCTAAGAAATACTTAAATCTTCACTCGCTGGTTAAAGTGCTAGACTAAGCAATGAAAGTTTATATTATATCGAAGTAATACCTAAATAAACTGTAGAAACTCTTCTCCTTTCTTGGGGGTTGTGGAGGGTGGCGGGGGGAGGGGGATTGGAGACATTGAAGAATGAGAGTTACCAGTCATGCTCTTTAAACTTTGCCATGTTTTATTTTACATGCGTGACTAGGACTTTCTATCCAATTATCCAGTTGTAATATGCTATCATTCACAGAATACATTTTCCTTCTTACTAGTCTTCTCATCCCTAAAAGTTTTCTGTGATTGCTATCTAGGTGCTATTTGGCATTTCGCAACACGCGAAGGAGCGTGTTGCGAAATGCCAACTAGTACCTAGATAGCAATGCGTGTTGCGAAATTCCAAATAGCACCTAGATAGCAATCACAGAAAACTTTTTCTTAAAAAGTTATATTATTTCGCGACACACATATAATGAAAATTGTAGATGGGACTTTTCTTGCCTCCAAACACATTAATAAAAACAGGAGTTGTGGATACTAAGATGAAGATTCAATTCAAATCCATGTTCACATTTCCAGGAGAATCACATGATAAATGAACATGTAACAAATTTAGTAAAAATATAAAATGGTTGAAACAAAGGAGCACTACTAGAAAGTTATGAGATATGAAGATAGCTAACAAAGTGATAGGCAAGTTCTATAAAACGATAATGAAGCAATGTTAAATTGGGGTGAATGTTGAGTTGCTAAGGTCCAACATATCCACAGTATGAATGTTGCAGAAATGCGGATGTCAAGATAGATATGCGATCATACAAGATTTGAAAAGACCAAAAATAAACACATCCAATAGAGGTTACAAGTAGCACATATAAAGGATAAACTGAGATAATGTCGCTTGAGATGGTTTAGCAAGTCCTATATAGACGTCCAAATGTACCATTTGCAGGTGCAACAATATGATAATTACAGGATTCAAAAAGGACGAGGTAAACCTAAAAATTAAAATCATATGTAGGAAAGTTATCCCTATGTTTCTCGAAATCAGTGCGGTCTTAGCTAAGCATAGAACAAGATGAAGCAAAGGCTTCATATAGGCAATACCAACTAGTTGGAATGATGCTAAGTTATTGGTGTTAAACTTACTTAAGCGAGGTGTTTGCCAAGAGTCTTTTAGTTTGGTTAGAGACTTATTTGTCAATGTAGGGATGAATGTGATATGGACAGCCCTCTAGTGTTCAAGACCCAAAAATTTCCCCTTAAGAATAGTTATATAGTATTGAATGAAATGTGACAAGTACAGTGGAACTGCTAAAGAGGATTCGTACAACCACCCTAACTACTTTCGATATCGTAGCACATCGGATTTAATTGATTGATTGAAACACCCACGAAGAATATAGTTTTCTAAAGGGTGGGGAGAAATTAATGTATAGACTTCATTGCTCAAGCTCTTCCCTCTCTTTCCTAATACTTTTCTCTTTAGTTTTAATCCAATGACTACCACTCATGTCAAAGTCGAAAGGCTAAAAAAATATAAATGAAAATATTTTAATGAGGTGGCAATACTTCTACTTACTTCAAGAACCTCCTACATTATACTCACACTCTTTACAGGGTGATAATGTACTAGTTCTATTTTCGTAATAGCTACTACATCGTCAACGTCAAAGAGACTGGATTGTGAGAGAGAGAGAGAGAGAGAGAGAGAGAGAGAGAGANTCACAATATATATATAGAGAGAGAGAGATTTACCCTCATGGAGAGCATCATAAACTTCTTCTGTTGTCACATTTAAGGCTCTGAGAAGAATTGCTAGATTCTGTGATTTCTTAGCATCAATAATCTGAATATACTGTGGTTGGTCAAAGGATGAGGAAGCTTTTCTTCGATCATCTTTTCCTTGGTCTCCCGGTATATATCCGAATAAGGACTCCATCATCTCCTCATTAAACCTGTAATAAAATTCAGCAAGCAGAATTGTAAAGACTGAGACAATTAAACTACTCTCGCAGGAGCAAAGTGAATAGCAAGACCAGTGCAAAGCTTACTGGAATGAGCCGGCTTTTATTTCATGCCAAACCATAGAGTGATCAGGATTAGCAAGAACCTTGTCCCAGAAGAATGGCTTTAATTTTGCTTTCGGAGCATCAGATTCACCCAATGAGTCACTTCCCCCATCCCCAGAAGAACGTCCTCTCTGATGTGCTCCAAGAGGTAAAGGCTTTGCCATACCAGGTTTTGGTGGATTAGGAGGGCGAACAACTTTTGGAGGTGGAGGTGGTCTTGGAGCTGGCGGTTTAGGAGGAGGAGGAGGTGGTGGACTAGGTGGTGGAGGTGCAGATTTTCCTGGAGGAAGGGGTAATGATGCATGAGCATTTGCATTCATCTCAGGTTTTGACATTTTCGATTCTGCTTCGAAAGGATTATGAGGATCAGCACTGGTTACAGCAGATGCACTCTTGACATTTAGAGAAGAACCTGACAACACAAATTAGACAAATTACTGAAATGTAATGAAAAAGAGTGAGACAATGAGATAAACAGAAACCATCATGGTAAATAGCAGCAGATAGACACCTGTCAGAGGAGGTTTTCCATCCCTTTGCCCATCGTTTGGAGTTATTTCTTTCTTTTTATTCTTAACACATAATATCAACAGAGCTAAAAGGGCGATTCCCGCAACAGAACATCCAGCCACCGCAGCAATTAAATAATTTCGACCCTCCTGATTATTTCCAGGAGAATTAGGACCATTCTGTGGTTTAGTTGGAGGTTGAACAGGCAAAGGCTTAGAAGAATTGGAGTGAATTTGAGTTTTTGGAGGCATTTCTGGAGGTTTTATAGCTGCAGAAGGAGGCTGCAAAATTGGAGGAGAGCTAGTGGGCTCTTCAACAGAAGGAACTGGAGCATAAATTGGTGATACAGTTGCAGGGCCTGGAGATGGAGCGAGAGTTGGAACTGTTGCAGGACCTGGAGACGGAGCAAGAGTTGGAACTGTTGCTGGACCTGGAGACGGAGCGAGAGTTGGAATTGGAGCATGATTTGTTGGCATGAATGTATACTTTCTTCCTCTTAGGTACCTCCTGGGAACACTGGACCATTGTGAGAAAAGCTCTTGGTACTTGCTAAACCAAGTACTGGATGCATCCTCACTATTCGAAACATGAAGCGGAACATTTTTCCTTCTTAAGCACTGCAACAGAATCTGCTTCTCTTCGGGAGGCAAATCTTTAATAGCCTTCCGTAAGGTTCTTTTTTTCAACAGAGCTATATCCTGTTTTAAGTAACTATAACTTCCTGTTGCTGCCTGTTGAGTATAATATTCCAGAAATTTTGCAGCTTCTGTGCTCTCTTCCAACTCTTCCCTGCAGTGGATCCATACTTGCTCGGCCTGCATACAGACGATTTCATCAAGTTATAGTATCAAGGTAAGAATTAAGTTAGAGATATGAATTCTAAAGACAACATAACATTGTATTTTGTCTCATTATTATGCAACAAATGCTTCTCCATCTGGTATCTTTTGAAAACTTAGATCTGATGGCATTATATCCACAATGAATCAAAACATCCAACAACTAAGATGAAAGTTAGCCTATATAATTGACTGTCCAAATCAAGATACAGAGCACTGGCCTACAAAAGTGTGTTGAGTTATTTATTTCTTATCATTACTGGAAAAAGATAAAAGCAAGAAATTTCCACTGGATAAAAAGCAACAGCTTGGAAACACAGATGTACATGCTAAGCCGGTTAGGGAAACAGAAAGCTAAACTCGAAATACATCTTTTGAACCTTGTAACAGCTTTCTTGCACAATGATCTTCAAAATGCTCATGTGAGAAATAACCTTTTGATATGACATAAATAAGATTAAAAGAATTAATTCAAAAGGTTACTGATCTCCTCAAACTAAGAAAAGCACCGGTATTTAAGTTCTGAGGTGGAAGCATAGAGATTCATCCTCGTTGTCTTTTGTTATTAATTTACAGATCCAATTCTTGTTTCCTATGAACCTCCACATCTCAGCCATTTTAACAATTAACATGCTTATTCTCTGAGATTCTGGAAATGCAAAATCTTAGAAACTTTGGCATAGACATCTAGCCCATAATTATTGGTTGTGGAAAAGACCAAGGAAAATTGGTTAAATCCATCTCTTGATTAAAAACACAAATTCACTTAGATAATCCAAAAGTTTATTCTTATGAAAGTAATGCTACTTCAATTTCACCGAAATAACGAATACTCATCAGAAAATAGTAGTACTTAGGTATCAACAGGCAAAAGCATAGGCAACTTGTCTATAAGAATCACAATAAGAACCATATAGTTGACATATACGTTAAGCAACTCACATCCAAAATAGTAAGTAATGCACACATTTTATGCATGCACATTGCATTAGAAAAAAGGCAGACTGGTGCACTAAGCTCGCGCTATGCGTGGGCCCGGGGAAGGGCCGGCGCATAAGGGTCTATTATACGTAGCCTTACCCTGCATTTCTGCAAGAGGCTATTTCTGCATTTCTGCATTTATGCACATTGCATAAGTGCAAACGTTTCTGCATTTCTGCATTTATGCACATTGCATAAGTGCGAACGTTTCTGCACTTCTGCATTTATGCACATTGCATAAGTGCGAACGTTTCTGCACTTCTGCATTTATGCACATTGCATAAGTGCAAACATTAAATCTCCAGATGAACATGAGAGAAATGAAATCCATACCGTATCTTCGTCTATCACAGGGACATGCCAAAGACCTGCAATGTCTAAATTGCTTCCGGGAAACTTCCTATTCCCTTCTGAATTTCTTGCTGCCCAAACACAAATCAAAGCAACAAAACCAAATGCATAGGCCACCCTTCCCATTATAATATTGCTCATCCCATATTTTGCCCTTCTTTTAATTGTATATGGCATGTATTCAATTACCTTTTTTCAGGTATACCAAGAAACACCCGAAAAACCTTAGCCTTGTTGGCGGCTTTATTTCCAACCAGTTCAAAGAATTCCAAATACTTCACAGCTAAAAGGGAGAAATAAAAATACATACAAATGTATAGACAATATACATATATCAAATATATATGTTTCCAAGCTATGCAACAAGAAACCAGATGGATTGGGGACCCTATTTTGCATCCAACATTAGAAACTCCAAATAAAACAATATCAAGGTTCAATTTTTACACCTTCAATACATATGTATGCACATAAAAATAGTATCATTAGCCTTCAAAATGCAATGCAGAAACAGAACCCACCACCCTTTGGTTCCTTTGCGGACAAATACAGGAAAAACAGATAATTTAGCAAAGGTTTCAAGAAGGAGATGAATTCTATATATGATCAAGAATTCTATTGTAAAGGGTTCCCTCAATTCTTTTTTAGAAAGAGCTCTCGGATTTTCAGACTATTTTGAGTCAGATTCTGTGTTGGGATTTTTGTTTGTTGGAATATTTCATGTTTTTTCGGAGGCAAAAGAGTTGTGCGTGCGGCAAAAATTTAATATTTATAGAAAACGTGCAGAGAACAAAGTTAAGATGAGAGAGAGGGACAGAGCACCAGATTTAATTTTGGACCTTTTTTTTCTCCTGAACTATAAAGAAAAAATTTATTCTCATAAAGATATTTATATTAATTGCAGAGGACAAATTTAAGATGAGAAAGAAAAAATTTAATTCTCTTAATTATTTAAAAATAATTTATTAATATCTTAGTGTGGACTGTGGAGATTACAGATACATAATTGTATACGGTCGAAATAGGTTTCGGCTTTAGCACGTCCGATCGAGTTCAAACGATGATTTCTCAAAGTGAGATCCCGAAGGTGGAGCAAACTATCCTCGAACCTGGGGAGGCCGATCCGTGTCAAGTTTGATATCATTACCAAGCTCGAATCAAAATCTACCATGCTGACAATCCAGAGACCAACCGACATTGACCTCGAATCAATTCGAGGGCTCGAGCCAGGATCGGGCTCGAACCAAGATCATGAGTTCGAGCCGAAATCAAGCTCAAACCAAAATCGAGGGTTCTAAGCAAGATCGAGCTCACAGACAAAAGCCGTTGCAATCCCACTAGAGAGAATCTTGACAGAAATTATGGAAAAGCTGACTTATCATGGGTCTCCCACTGAATGTTTATTTTATTATGCTTAGAGCCAAATCCCTCCACTATAAAAGGGCTTGGTTACTATTTCTGTAAGACAAGTTTTTCAAGCTTACATTGTAATAAAAGTGCTATATTCTTCTACAGTAAAGAATTGTTCATTCACATTTCCATTTTTTGAATCCTAAGATTCTTTGTTCCTGGCAACCTTACCTATTTCGGATTCTCTCTAATCTATATTTACATTTCTATTGATCCTTACATTTTGTATCAAGTTACGCCACATATCCTCGGAACTGCGTATAAATTCAACTCTATCCATTTTTCGGGTAAATAGTTTAGCGCCCACCGTGGGGCCGAGGATAACAGTGGTTATTTGATACAAATCTGAAAAATTATGCCATTGTGCCTTGCACTCATTTCCGAAAACATCTTGAATTTCGGATCAGTTGCGAATAACCACCAATCAAATGGCTTCACCAATCGATTACGAAGCCGGCTTTCAAGATGAAACCAACAACTTGGCACTTGGAGCCGGAAGGCCAATTAACGATGGCACCGAGGTTCAAATCGAAGTACCCGAAATTCGAGCTAAAATATCATTGGATGTCAATTCACAAATAGCTTTGGAGGCAAATCAGCGCTCCGAACTGGAAAGAAGCATTCAGAGCGGTACTCGATCTGTAGCCCGAGATACCCAAAACGCGGGAGAAATTGGGGCCAGCTTACGTATGATCTTCGAGATGCTACAAGCCCAACAAGTAGCGATAGCTCAGCTACAGAGCCAAACTCGCGCACAAAGCAGG